CACACACACATCACACTGCACTTTGTTTTTGATACTCAGTTCAATCAAAACTCTGAAATCAGGCTGGACAGGAATCTTTTAAAAATTCTAACTTTTGAACTCACTGTTACTTCTGACAACCAATGCATGCCAAAATCCACTATTGATCTTTTCATTTTGGAACCTCTATAGTACTTAAGCCTTTTGAAAATAAATCTAGGTCTAGCATATGTTCATTTCATACTTTATTGTATCTTTACTTTTTCTATTTTGTAGCTCAATTCTAATTGATTTGTAACAGAATAGTTAATCAATTCCTAATATTACTATTCATTTTATCCTCTACATTCCTATCTCCTCACTAGATCCTTTCCAGAGATAACTTATACTGTTTGGTAGTTGAATATCTTCAGAATGCAATACTTTACTGTAGTTTCATTGCATTTACTATTTTATTTTCATCTGTTATCTCTTAAATAACCTCAATGACCTAAAGTATGAGATGGAGAACTATAGTTAGGTGGGGGTCAATGATTTGCTCAGGTCTACAAATCCAATACCAGCTCAACTCTCTAAGACTCTAATGTTAAACCTATTTATAGAAACAGTTTTTAAATTTTGGGAAAACTAAGACAGATAAGGGTAAGATGGTATAAATAATTCATCCCCCATAGCAAATGAAGCCATTTCTCTTCTATTTCAGTCTCCAAACTCATTTGTTTTGAGGGTTAATGAAGAAACATATGGAAGAAATTCACCATGACTGGCCCTACTCCCAAATGTACCCTTAAGTGAGGGAGAACTTTTCTTGCTGGCTTAGATTCTTCAAACATCTTGATTAAGAAGATTACATGCCACCTGTTTCAAGAATTTAGAGGTAAGCTGGATGTCATGGCCGGCATCATCAATCCTAGCCACTGCAGATGCTGGGACAGGAAGATTACAAGTCGGAAGCAAGCCTGGGCAACTTAGAAATTGTTCAGGGAAAAAAAAATGAAACAAAATGGACTAGGGATAGAACGCAGTGATTTTATCATCAGTAACTCACAGAAGCACACACACACACACACACAAACACACACAAACACCCACAGAACTGAGAGGTAATATGCTTATAGGTTTGAAAATAACATCCCCTTAGGGTGGCCAACTATAGCTACAGGTTTATATTTTCAGTGGCATAAAGGAAGGGGAGTAGTGCTACTACTAAGTGCACAGGGATCCTTATGCTATTCTAAGTAGACATATATGGAGACCATTTTGGCCACTTTACATTGTGGACAAGGTGGAGTTCTCCAAGCCCTACCTAGAAAAGATAAAAAGAAAGCAAATGAAATGCTTTTAACTTGAGTGTTCATAAAAACAGAGTTGTCATTTTAATGGCTCTGCATTTACACCTAAAATCCTGTAGTTTTATGTTTTGTACTGTATACTTAGAAAGTACAATATAATACAAAATCCATTTAAAGTCAGCAGAATAGGCTGAGCTCAAATGTCTGGCTTTATAAACTGTTGTCTTCTTTGACAAAGGAAAGTATCTGTGTCACTTTTGCTACTGAAAAAAACACTGGATCCCACCATGGAAAATTCTGAACATCAGATAATTCTTGAAAAAGTGCCTGCTTTGTTTATGACCAGTTAAGAAATACTAGATAACTTATAGTTTACCTCAACACACTGTGGCAGTCTTTGCTTCGTACATTCCAAAATGTTACATAAGCTAAGAGAAGAATTTTATGCCCTTACTTTCAGTCAACTCAAAACCATCCTTTTAAAAGACTAACATGGTATTTTAAAATCTATAAAAGATATACCCCTGTCACCACATGCCATACCAGCCCCAACCCCAGGAGCACTGAGCCAGCCACTGAGACCCAAAGTGGTGGCACAGGCCTATAATTCTAGCACTCAGGAGGCTGAAAACAGGAGGATCACTACAAGTCTGAGCTGTGTAGTGAGACCCTCTACAAAATACATTTTAAAAAGATGTATAGACAATATTAAAATTGTCAAGGAGATCTTAAATCTGAAAAGTACCCTAAGAGCCACAGACATTTAAAAACATTTCTCCAGACAAACCACACTAAAGATTCAGCAACAAGAATATACAAATGTATTTTTCTTCTTTTTTAAATTTTAAAATAAAATATACATTATTATATCATGACAATGTAAAGAAAAAGCATTTGGGAAAATATTTACACAAAAGCATAACTATTTAATTCTCATTTTTGGTATCTACTGAGAAATGAGATTTAAAAACTAAAAAATGATAACTCTAGGCTATAAGTATATCTAACAAGAAAATAACGTCTACTCTTTTAGAAAAAATAGCTCATATTCTATACGTGAGGTAAACACGGACTACAACTTAAAGAGTCCTGACTAAAATACAGCAGTGGAAAAAAGGAAGAAAATGGATTGTGAAGCTCATCAAATCATGTCAGTAGATTTCAAAATATTAACAAGATTGGAGCAATGAACTTCATAATGACCTATTTCCAGGTATCTTCGACATCAAAATCTCATCAAAAAACAATTTAAAATTTACTATCACAAGGGCTCATAAAGAAGCATAAATATGCTACAGTTTTTATAACTTTTCAGTAATAACTTTCAATATAAAAAGAACACAGAAAATATAACAACATACAAAAATAGTATACTTTAAAAGCTAGGTATATGTTTTTATACATGAATATATACTTACAAATTTTTTATGTCCACTGCCCCACGAAACGCCTTCCTTGGAATAGCCTGAATTTGATTTTCACTGAGATCACTAAAAACAGTCAAAAAGAAAAAAAGATAAATTCAGAAGATATTTTAAATATTGTTAACCACAGTGATGGAGAAGTGCAAGATGCCTGAAAAGATCTTAAATAAGTGCACAACATTAGATGCAATTTTCCCATACAAACACACTTTATTGCTCTTCCAAAAGTGTAGAGTCATTACTCAAAGTATGCTTCTAAATATTTGATTTTATACAAACTTATAAAATATGATATTCTTGGAGTTGCACCAATCCTATAAAATAAATATGATTATTATTTGTTTCAAACAAATAGTAAATTTTTCATAAGTCAATTTCAGGAGGTTCTGAAGTTTTAGTACTTGGGATTTCTCCAATATTACTGACATTGCTTCTGAAGCATATAAAAGAGCAGTTTAATGCAGCCCCTCAGGGAAGGGCGAGTACAAATTGATAAAACCTGCACAGTATGAGTAAGTTTTCATAGCACTTTAAGTGATCTTGAAAATGGACCACGGCAGCACCAGCCCAACAATTAAGGAATGCTTCTGCATGAAACAATAATAGTAAGTTGATTTAAAGCCCTCTAAGTAATTCTACCATAACCATAAACACAGCATCTATATTTGTATTTTAACCTAATTAAGAAATACCTTTTAATCAGAGAAGAAATTGCTTATTTCTCTGTGTTGGAACAGGCAATTCGCAACAACAAAAATTCACTGATCTCATGAAAAGGATCATTTCTTGTGTTTCAAAAAGTTTAGACAGACATGGTAGTATTAGACTTAATAAGTAAGGTACAATTGCACATGCACAAAATCCCTAAAAAAGAAAATTATCTAGTTTTCTACAACATGATCTGATAGCAAGAACTGAAATTTCAAGTCAGTAAGTGAACAATGAGGGTGTTTAAATTATCTTTAAACTCTACAATACTGATTCCCACAAACAATGATGAAATTACTGACCATGGGCACATTGCTGCTACAAACACAACCAATTTCCAGGATATGGAAGCATGCAGGAGACATTAACCCACACACCCTGTGCTCCTCAGCTGCTTCTGGCCAGGCCAGCGTACGTAGCTCTTCCTCTTGTAGTGGAGAGAGAGAGAGAGAGAGAGAGAGAGAGAGAGAGAGAGAGCGAGAGTGAGAGAGAGTGAGCAAGTGAGAGGGGGAGAGAGAGAATTGGCAGTATAGAGATTTAGTGCATGGGCTTGACCTCATTAACATCGAGTCTTAAACAACCGAGCTTTGCATTTATACCCCAGTATCTTCAAGTTCAAATAAAAATGTTTGCTAAGCAATTTGTATAGAACTGAATGTCAGTCTATGTAAGGGGAAAGGTTGCTAGCCCTACCTCCAAGCCCCCACATATTTCAAAGAGTAAATTTCCAATATCTGCTTATGGTGGAGGTGAAATAGCCATCCATTTCCTAGGTGACATAGCTCATTACTGCTTTCAATAGTTTTAGCACATCCCTAGAAGTCATAAAACTTCATTTCCTTAAAAATTGCTTATTTCTCCAGCTTGTCATTGATTTAGACCAACTTCCTTCCTTTTTAAAATTACAGTGAGTGAAGAATATTTAACAATACACATTTAAAAGCCTCTGTGGACTTCAGTGCGAAGTCTTCAGGGCAAGACTGGAGAGAAAGGAAAGACATATTAGAAAAGGAAAAATCAGAAAGTAGAAAGGAATGAGGAGGCAGAAAAGATTAAATTCAAGCCAATTTGAATTTATAACAGCCCCTGAAAACAGGAGCATTGATAGTATTCAGTATGCGGCACTAATGATGTTCTAAAAAGGCAAATATTAAGTGGATAGCTCCAGTTGCACTTTTCCAACTTCTCCTTGGACAAAGCCTGCTTCAAATAACAGAGAGGTGAATGAGAACAGCAGAGACATTTGCTTCTGCCCTGGCTACGCCCGTCTCGCTGCCTTCACATCTCCACAACTGGGGCCACTTCAGTCCCTAACTGCTGGGTGGTCTCCCCTCTGCTCAGATTCCAGGCACACTGAGTCCCAGAGACATATTCTCAGCTGAGGTCTGGCAAGCCCAGAAGAAGAGGAGAGTGATGACTCCAGATGGCTCCTAAAAGTGTTCCAGAGGAGGACTGATACACAAACAGAACGCCATCCTTTTGAGTTTCATTTTAGTCCTTCTGATTCCCTTTGGCAGAACCACGGGGTATACAGGAACTTTCCCTGGAGTCCATCAGTGTTTTTCTACAGGTGTGTGAAAGCCTGTCTACCTCATGGGTCCTCATTCTTTTAATTTTAACGCTGGTTTGTGTGAGGCTGCTCCCTGGGAGAGACAGCTCCAAAACTGTGCTATGGGACCTCAGCTGGAGTGCAGAAACCCCTGAAACAGGCAATTACAGTTTTAAATTCCAAACCTCTATAGTTAAGTAAGCCCTGTTCACTTAGGGAGAAAAAACCTGGCACACTGTCCATACCTACCACATAGAAGAGTTGATTTTTCAGGAAGACTACACTATTGCATCTAATCTGTTTCCTTTAATCCTTATAAACAGCTTGCTAAATAGGCATTGCTTATGGTAGCTTTATGGGGAAGGAAATTAAGCATTAGAACGTTATTGGTGCTACAGAAAGAGGCAAATTATTGTGTATAGGAAATGCACATTGATACTGAGTCAAGATTTGGAATTTCTAGACTTATAACCAGGATTAGTTAACAAATATTTTCTTCTTGTGACCCAGAATTTAGGAAAGTTTTTCTTAACTTATCCAAATCTGGCTTATGTATATCATTTGGAAAATTATAAAGTAGACTACATTTGAACATGGATTCATGTTTTCTATATATTTATAATCCAGTGGGCTTTAAAATTTCAGTCTCAGGGGCACAGAGGCTGTGGAGGTGTAAGGCTATCTTGAGGAATTTCAAAATCCAGTAAAGAAGATTAAAAATGTAAAATGAAAGGTAAGCAAAAAAAATAATTTTCAAACAATTATTGAGTGTGAGACAAGAAAGTACTGAGAATTTAAAGAGAGAGACAGTGTATACATACTGAGCTAGAAAGACTAGGGTAGTGAGAGGATAACATTTTTAGCAACAGAATGCCTTAAGCAGGAGGATGGAGGTGAAGAACAGAACTTTGTATGGAAGTAGACTTAGGCCTTGTTTGCTGAGGGTACAAAATATGTGGTAGAGTAATAGAAGAGGTTGTGAGGAAGATTCAGCGGTGTGATGGGCAGGTTCTGTCCTCCTTTTATTTTTTTCTCAGTACCAGGGATTGAACTTGGGACCTTGTGCTTGTCAAGCAGGCACTTACGCCCCTGAGCTATATCCCTGGCTGTCTTACTAACTGAAGTGCACATTCTCACTCCAGCAGACTGCAGCGAGGAGGGCAGATTGGTGGCTGCCAGCAAGGCATGATTCACCAATCTGGTGGTGAGGAGCAGAGTGGACCGATGGGGCCAAAGATCCAAGTTTGGTTACATGGTATTTGGAATATTAGAGTCAGAACTTTTGTATGAGAAGGAAAAAAGATGGGACCTGGAGGAATATAGCACCATCAATGAATGCCTCAGGCACCCAACCCAGGGCCCTGGGTGTGGCATTTCCCCATTAACACGAGGAAAGATAGAAAATAGTGAGCAATATCAAGGAAACATGAACGACCAAAATGCAGAAGAGTACAAAAAGGGGATGCGGAGACAAAGGTCACTCCAAAATTACATGAGAGGGGTTTCAATAATACTGGGAAATCAAAAGTGCTAATGAGAATGTGAATGATGGATTTGGCTTGGGGAATTTTTAATGTCGCTACAGAGCAGGATATTTGTCATGTGGTTGGTAGAAAAGGAAATCAGCATATAGTATGAAAAGTAAGAGTGGTATCCAAGAAAGATGATTAAGGAAATTAGAGACTATGATTATTGGAGGACACTTGACCCAGGCCACTTTCCAAATAATAAAAATCTTGAGCTGGGAATGTAGCTGAGGGGCACAGTTCCTACCTGGTAAGAGCAAGGTCATCCTGAGTTCAATTCCTGGTTACCCCCCCCCAAATAAAGACATAAAAGATTTTATCGAAAACCCATATAAAAATGATTGTTCTTGGTTCATCTCAGCCTCCAGTGTTGGGAAAGGCTTAAAGGTGGTGACTGGTAAAAATCCAGGAGAAAAGCAACCCTGCCAGAGAAATTAAAAGTACACTTAAATCCACATATCTGAGAATAAGTCCTAACCAATTCTGCCACTTATTAACCATGGGTCCTTTCTTCATCTATCAAATGTGACAATAACAATGCCTATTTTATGAGAAGTTAGGTGCATTCAGTGAAGTTACAGCCTTAAAATGTTGAAAAAGCACCTGTGTAAGGGCTGGGGGCGTAGCTCTGTGGCACAGGCCCTTGCCTGCCAAGGGCAAAGCCCTAAATTTGATTCTTAGTACCAAAAAAATCCCCCAAACAAACAAAAAGCTGAATGAACAGACAAAAGCAAAACAAAAAGCACCTGTATATACAATGTATTCTAGAGGTTATGTTTACATGCATGTTATATCTGTTCTACATAGAGACCCTGCTTTTGTTCCCACATCACTCTGCTGTTTTTGGAAGATTACTGTTGACTGTAATGTAGTGTTCATGAATGGCATAAAATGAAGAAAATGAGAATCACGAAGTGGATGGGGGTGCCAGCAGAGAAGTTTGGATTTACTGTATGTATGTACGTATGTATGTATGTATGTATGTATGTATTTGGTACGGGGTCTCACAACACAGCTTGGACTCAAAGTGATCCTCCTGTTTTCAGCCACCCCAACACTGGCATTATAGGAGTGCACCACCATGCCCGGTCACAGTGGCTGACTCAGTGTGCCCAGGGGCAGGGCCAGTGTAGCATGTGGTGCCAAGGATGGAATTATTTTACCAAGCAATGTGTGTGTGCAAATGCATTTCAAGGAGAATAAATGTCTTGATTTAAATTTATTTTTTTGGAAGATTAACTTGGAAGTTGAATTTCAGAATTGGCAGAGACAATGGAAAGACA